TGATTGAACATCTCTGGAGAGATCTGAAAATGGCTGTGCACTGATGCTCCCCGTCCAACCTGATGGAGCTTGAGAGGTCCTGCAAAGAATAATGGGAGAAACTGCCCAAACAGGGGTGCCAAGTTTGTAGTATCATACTCAAAAAGACTTGAGGCTGTAATTGGTGCCAAAGGTAGTGAATACTTATGTCCATGTATTCTTTCGTTTTTTATCTTAATACATTTACAAACATTTCAAACAAACTTCTTTGATGTTGTCATTATGGTGTATTGTTTGTAGAATTTTGAGGAAAATAATGAATTTCATCCATTTTGGAATAAGGCTGTAACATAACAAAATGTGGAAAAAGTGAAGCGCTGTGAACACTTTCCGGATGCGCTGTATATCCTGTCTATGCTGTGCATTGGTTGTGTGCTGTCAATTGACACACATAAAATGATGTTATGTGACGTGGTTTTTGAAAAAGTGTCACAATGTGACAATTCTTTTAAAAAGATATAAAAACACTAAGAGGATATTCTTTAGTCAGGGGAGAGTTTTGTTGTCACATGATGGCCTGAATGATGTGGCCTAAAGAGCAAAACCTTTTCTTGAAAACTAAAAGTCAAAGCAGGAATATTACATTTTTTTATTTTGCACCTGAAATGTCATGTATCCCATAAAACATCTTACTGTTGTTTCTCTCTGAAACATCGATTCCAGTCCTGTGCTTAAACTAAGGCACGTGTATGTCTCACATATTCTGTCTCTCTAACACACACACTCACTTTGTCCTCTCCCCTTTTGTCAGTTTGTTCTATTTGTTTTAGATCTTTAGCTTTGGCGTAACCAGATGCTTTCCCTCCCTCTAACATCTAAACATGTTTCAGGTTTTCATGCGACCACGAGCTTTGAGCTTGCTTGTTTATATACACAACAGGCTCATATACAGCAGATGCACACAGAGGGTTCGTGTGTCTAACGGATAAGAAACACCTGTGGCTATATAGTCAAATGGTTCTCATAGTATGTTTGGACATCGCACGCATACACATGCACGCACACACACACGAAAGGCCACTAAACAGTCTGAAAGTAGTTACATCTTTGTCTCATTTTAAGATTACTTCACAGGGACAGCATGTCACCTCTCTTTAGAAAGGCAGGGCCTTCCTGTTGTTTTGGTCAGCAGCTGTAAGCATGCTTTGACTCACATCAACCAAGTCAAGCTAACCTTCTGAACTCTGAGCAGCAGGTAAGAACATCCTCAAACACTGTAGCAGATGGCCTAACAGATGGCGCTGATCACAGACAGAGGGTGTGTGGATCTTTGTGGACCTCTGAGGAAAACCAGGTAAAATGAGAATGTTTTGACACTCACCTCTGCAAGAACAGAATTGTTGTCATTTTTCAAAAATAAAATAAAATGTAACATTTGAAACAGTTATTTGAAGAAATAATATTATACCAAAGTCTACTAGCTAGCTTTGCCTCATGTAACAGTCCTCATCAGTGGAGGGAACTGGCTCATTTGTCATCTAACAACTTAATTAAGGAACTTTGGTCATGTGATAATAGGTGGTTGTATTTTGGGGAGAAACTACTCCAAAACCAGTTTTGACTGGGATAGGAGTCAAAAGTCATCAACGGACCGTAATCAATGGACGGACAGAAAAAGATCAAGGACATTGACGTCTGACAAGGGAAACCACCTTTGAAGTTCATAAGAAGTTTCATACTTATGGCACCTTATGGTAAATGAGCCACAACTCTGTTTGCCAATGAAGACCATGAGACAGTTTTGACAGAAAAAGCTTGCAAGTGGACCTTGAGTTAAAACTGTTCTGTCAAACCCAGATCTTATTTATATTTTATTTATTTTACTTATCTATTTGCCCATATTGTTTGTATCACTCATAATAACATTGTGTCTTGACCTGTCAGACTTCTTTTCAGCGACGTCTTAATGTTCTCAAATCTCAGGAATTTCCTTGCTGCGAGATTTCCTTTAAGGTAAACTCCAGTTGAGATAACTTTCAATGATGCCCTCACAAGTGCGGTAATACACTGCATATGTTTTCCTCCTCAGTAGTCCAGTATTACACAGTGAAAGTCATGGCCAAATAACTCTTTCTCCCTCATTCTCTCTCTGTATATCTTTTTCAGTACCAGTTTGTACCACAACTCCAGTTCTCAGTGATTTTGTTATATAATCCTCCCTACAGCTGTTACTCAGTCCAACTCAAGAAACGTCACTGGTATGGCACAAGGTGAATTTCTCAACGGTGTGTTACCTATTACCTTACACAAGCACATGTATGTGGGATAACTGTACCACTGTATGGGACTTGTGCCTAAGAGTATATGAGATGCCACTTTACAGGAATGAGATAATACTGACAATCCTCCGAAGAGCTGTGACATAACGCCACAGGACAACAACACAGTGGAAGACCCATTCAATACAATAATGTTACCTACTGCGGTCTAACTGTGATGCAACAATCTAATTTATAGTCAGACTAGCTCACTAACCATTTTCATTATCATCCAATAAACCTGTGCTGACATTGCTGAGCCTCTCAGGTGAAAGATATACAAATAGTTATTGAAAAGCAGGTAATACCGACATAGCATGTCAGCTTAATGCATTCAGTCTAGTGTAGCTAATAGCTAGCTAATAAATAATATAACAGTAACTTTGCAGTGGGAGTCTACCTGAGTTTCCAGTATTTTGTGTGATGCTGTCTCTGGCGTGTCAGTCTCTGTTTTGCCTCGCTCATTATTTCGAGCATGCGCACATGCTTGGGGAGGTAGTGGTTGCAATCTGAGACCTCACTGCTAGAGGCAGCTGAAACTACACATGGCCCTTTAACCAGGGTATAAGGGGTTTTAGCTCTGTAACATCAATCATACTTCAACCATACATGTAGAAATTAGTTCAACACTTTCAAAACAAACATACTGTACTCAAAGACTACAGTATGCTCAGAAGCCTGCCCAGCCTCTAAATAAAAAAACGAAATAGAATTGATCGATTGATTGGATGTTGTTGCATGTCTACTATATTTTAATATATTTATGAGAATTAATACCAAATTATGAATTTTAATATTCAGAAAATATTCATCCATAAATCTCTCGTTTCACAGGGTACCACCGGAGTTTTAATTAACCCAGAGTCTCCGGACCTCTGGGTAGCGTTTTAATAATTATACAATTATTCACTAGTGATCAGTTAGTTAATAATTGCTCTATTATCTTAAATAAATCAGTCAGTCTCATATCGAAGGGGTAATTACTACATTACAGTGAATTTATTAAGTAATTAAGGTGAATATAAAAATGCGGTTAAAATATACATCCAAGAAATAAACAATGGCTAAACAATGAGAATGTGGGTTTCTATTTGAAGTTAATGAACACAAGCTATGAGTTTTAAGAGTTAAAGATAATCTATTAACAACTATGGGACATCACTGACCACAGAACGCAGGCTTTTGGTCTTACTGCATGTCGCTTCTCTGCCAGGGAATCTTTTGTCGGCTTACTGAAGAACTCGCAGTGGGGGCCTTCCCAACCCTGGCTCAGGTCAGAGGTTTGGTCGTCATTTGTTGCTGCTGGCAGGACCACGTGGCCGGGTCCGACCTCAGTGGGGTTAGCTCGATGAATAAAGCTTAAAAAGAAAAGAACTTGGTCGTTCTTCAATTAAACTAGTGTAACTTAACGGACTGATAACTTTTAACAAAACAAAACCAAAGAAAATAAAACGCAAGTAAAGTTGCTGAAACGAGGGAAAGCTGAGGTTGTGGCATTTTGCGTGTGTGGCTTGAAAACGAGAAAGCATTCGCTGCGCCGGGTCGAAGCTCTTGTCGGGAGAGGGGGCACACTGGGTGCGTGCCGAAGCTCAGTTGGAGAGCCAGGAACAAGCAGAGGACAAGAGGACAAGAGAGCAAGAGAGCGAGACAGCGTGTGTCACTGCTTTTGTCTGTTGGGGCGTGGTTCCCAGAGGGCAGTCCTGTGTTCCCCTGAGGGAGGGCTTGTTTTCGGTTTCCTTAGAGACTGTCAAAAAATCTATTTGCGTGTATTGTAATCAAATATCTTCCCACAAGCAAACCTTAATTGTCAAACGGTTGTTCCGTTCTTAGTTTTAAGCACTTGATAAAAAGGAAAACAATTGTCAGTAGTTAGACCTTAAAAGGTTAGCATTTCATAGGAATCACATCAGATGAGAGGAACTTAACTAGCTTTCTGGATATATTGGCTGATACACGTTCTTAGAGAATAGCAAGATACACGACTGGAATCAGATTATGGACAAGATCAATTTCAAAGTGATATTTATACATTAAACGGCATTTCAGACGATGGCCTGTAATACTTATTTTGTCCACTTGGGGGAGCTCGGGTTACATGACGATAGCTTTGTTTCACCCTAAAACAATCTTTAGTTATTTAGTCAATAGCTTTTTAATTTTAAATTCGAGCTGGAAAATTAATCGGGTATATGATGAC